TTTACAAGAGGGCTATCCATATTTGAAGTGAGAATGAAAGGAGTCAGTAGAGAAGTTATTAAAGTGACTGCAGGGAAAGGTATCATTGAGACAAGGGTGTCTTCACAGGGTGAAAGGAAATGAGAGTAAGAGCACAGATGTGAAGTGCAGCCTTAAAAAGGAAGATAGTCTTACTTTCAAAACAAGATGAAAGAACTTTGATGTAAGAGGGAAAAGTATGGGACCTAGTCTTGCTAGGTTCCCATCCCTCCCACCCATCTCAGGTAGGTTATATCATTTGCTGAGACATGGTGGCCACCTAGGAGGCAGGGGAGAGTTTGAATTAGGATAGCAAAAGAATGTAGACTAAAAAATAAGAAAGGAAAACCTTGCCAGTTAACATCAAGAACTCAATTGAAATGGAAATGAAATGCAACCTGATATACAATGTAGAATCAATTTCTTCCATATACAGTTTTAGGATTTCATTTGCAATTTTTTGTTTTGTTGTTGGTAGTGGCTGGCTTCTTGGTTTTGGGAGGGGAGCGGGTATTGAGAGAGAAATAGAAGTGGATTTTACTGGTCCATTTCTTCATACGAACAGTATTCTGAATGTTGGTTATATTCCTTGGCCAGTCCACATAAAGACAATCTTGTAAAATCTTAATTTTGCTTTATGGATTTTCATATTTTATTTACTGCCTTATATTTTATTAAAGTAAGTATATAAGAATAGTATAAAATGTCATGTTCTCTAGGGAAGTCTCGAAGATCTCATCTCTTTCCTCTTTCTCAGCCAAAGCAAGGGCAGTTTATGGTAATGAGCCACAATGGCCCCAGGCAACTTTCTTGGGACAAAAATCAAAACTCTCATTAAAAGTACAAAATTTGGAGAAGGAAGTTAATTGTCTTTTAAAAACTTGTTTCAGTTAGAAGAAATAAGCCAGGGAAGAGCATTTATTTATTTTTATCTTGAATTGCCCTCGAGACAGAGACATAACTTGAGATGTGCAGCCAAAAAAGAAACAAATCCTGTGTTTTTTATGAAGACCCTGATAGCATTGCTAGCTTTCCAGGTGGAGAGCAAGAATCTCTAGTGTTTTTTTCTCCTAAACCTTTATTCCAGCCTCTTCTTCCCAGCCTCCCACCCTTTCTTCCCTACTTTTAAAGATGTATGGGGCTGGGTGCAGTGCCTCACTCCTGTAATCCCCAGGAATTCGAGGCCAGCCTGAGCAACATAGGGAGACCCCATCTCTACTAAATTATAAAAAGAATTAGCCTGACACAGTGGCGCACACCTACAGTGCCAGCTACTCAGGAGGCTGAAGCAGGAGGATTGCTTGATCCCAGGAGTTTGAGGTTGCTGTGGGCTATGATGACACCACACCACTCCAGTCCAGGTAACAGAGCAAGACGCTGTCTCAAAATAAATAAAAATAAAAAAAGTTATTTGGGATTTGTAGTTTTCAAATTGGGTTAACAAACATAAAAAGATATTTTGTGGACATACAGGAAATTCAGCCAGTTTGATTTACAAACTTTGTCCATGATTTCTTAAGAAACAAACACATCTTAGAACAAATTAAGTATTGATACTACATCAATTGATTTAAATGTACCCTTTTTGTTTTTTGTAATTTTACTTTTTGCTTGACAGTTTAACAAATTTCAAAATTTTAAATAAAAGAGGGTTAATAAAATTCTAATGTTTTTGTTACATTATAATTTAATACAAATACTATTAAATAAGAATATATAATATCAACCACATATTTTCTTCCTCCTGCATAGAAAGGTCAAAAAGCAAGGCACTAACTGAAAAATATAAATATTGTTATATAATTTACCATTTGAATTTTAATGCCAAGTAATTACTATTGATTACTGTGAATTACTTTCAATAAATATATTTCATTAATATGTACAAAATATTCCTAAGAAATTGATAATCCTCTCTTGAAATTACCCATTTTGGGCCTTGGTTGAAACACGTTTTTAGCCTTTTCATTAATTTAAAATGAAAAATCTTAGAAAAGTCAATGTTAGGAAAAAAAAGACACAAAGAAAAAAATTTAAAAAAGAAATCACTGATGAATAAATGCAATCACAAAGTTTGGGAGATGATTCTGATTTAAGGCAATAATTCCTGGAGTTTAATGATATATATTAAAGTACAATTAAAGATGTGTCTCTGAACAAAATTATTTCCTAGTTTATATGTTAAAGGCATAAAAGCTTTATACACTTTAAACACATGAAAGTTTATTAACAAATAACAGGATCTACTACTCATTACTCTTTTAAAGAAATGTTTAATTTCTGTTTGCTTTTAAAACCATGAAGAAACAGGCTAATTTCAGCTTTTAGTCAGAACTAGAGTGTTAGAAAAAATATATTCTCATTTTAGGTGTATGGCTTTCTTAGTATCTTATAATATTTTCTTTGTATATTTTTCTATGGATTTTTCTCCTGTTGATGCTATATGTGGAGGAAAATAATTTAAGAAAATGTTGGTTTTCTAATGGTGAGATTAAAAAAGAAATAAACATACCATTTCAGTAAGTTATTTGAGGCTTTTTATTTAGAAATGTTTCATTTTTCAGAAATACATTAAACCTGTGGATAAAACTATACAGTGAAGTATTTTGTGTGTGCTATTTATAAAAATGGAGTCTTTTACTGTATAAACTTTTATTCTCACTGTAAAATCATCTGTGTTTGTTTATTAAACATGTCACTTTGAAATGCTGTACTTTGCTGTGGGATACATTTTAGTTTGATTTTTATAGCCTCTTTCCTCATTCATGCCAAGAAAAAGCTGAAAACTTGGGTTCATGTTTTTGCTTCAATGACTTGTTTTTAATATGAATATACTGTATACATCTTATTGACCCAAAAAAAGAAATAATGTAAGCATTACATACATTACATTTATATTGCTGTCTACCCTAGGATAGAATTTATATCTGAAAGTAAAAGATATGCTGATACAAATGCTAACTAATTTAGTGTCTCGTAATTATTTACAGATAGTAAAATTAAAATTGGATTTCTTTAACAGCAACCAAATATTATTTTAATCTTAGGATAGAGGCTTCTGGATATCACAGTTTAAGATTATATACCATTATTGCCAAGTTTTACATATCTAAAATTATACTACCTTCACTGTAAGTAATAAGGGAATTGTTACTCTTAAGGCCAAGACTCCTGTTAGTCTTCTAAATAGGCTCCTTGAATGCAGCAGTGTACCTTATGTTAGACAGTGAAACTCTAGATTCTCAAGTGCAGGTACATTGAGAACACCAAGGTTAATACAAAGGTGCTCGTTAGCTAGCTCTTGTCCTTTAACATGAAATAGGAATAAAAGGTATAAATATAGAAGGAAAGAAATAAAAAATTTACTGATAATTGTACCTTCTAAGTGTAATAGCTTGAGTCATCTAAAATATTGAATTCTTATTTTTTTAATCATTTAACAATAGGAAAAGATATACTTATAAAAACCAATGATACTTATATGGCAAGAGTATTCAGATATGAAAATACCTAATTATAATAACCATAAAAAATGTAGCAGAGATAATCTTATCAGAAAATGCATGAGACTTGAGGATGAAAACTATAAGAGAAATAAAATGTAGCCAAAAAAATTCTCAAGCTTATCTGGAAGAATAAAGTAATAAAGTTAACAAAGAAGAGAATAATGAAGGAAAACTAGCCCTACCAAATACTGAAACATATTTTAAACACATCCCAGTGTAGTAGGCTGATTTTAGGTGCTTTTTATATGTACAATTGGTTTAGATAAGATTATGAATAAAGGTATGATAATATGGGAGGCAACAACCTCTAATACGGAAGCAACAGGATCTTAGAACAGCATAGTATGCTCTACAGAAAACTGTGATAATGGATATCAAAGTAAAAAGTGTTCATAGTCCAATCAGCTTGAGAAATTCTGGGTTAAAATAGTGTTTTTTACAGCAGAACCTCTAACATCATGATGTGTGTTGTGACTTGAGGGCTTCTGTGCATGGTGGCTCGTGCGTGTCATCCCAGCACTTTGGCCAAGAGACTGACACAGGAGGATCTTGTGAGCCCAGGACTTTGAGACCAGCTTGGGCAACATGGCAAGACCTCGTGTCTACAAAAAATTTAAAAATTAGCTGGGTGTGGTGGTACGCACCTATCATCGTAGCTACTCAGGAGGCTGAGGCAGGAGAATCACCTGTGCCCAGGTGTTTGAGGTTACAGTAAACGACGATTGTGCCATTGCACTCCACCCTGGACAACAGAGCAAGACCCCATCCTCTTTTTTAAAGCCTATGTGGGTCCAGTTGTCATCTATGACGTATGTATCATGCTCTGTAAACCTATACTTGCTCTTGCCCTATATTCCTATCTTTTTCTCAATAAACCTCATTTTCCTGCTTGCCTTAGAAAAAGAAAAGAATGTACTAGTACATAAGAGGTTTTCAATATTCATCATCAAATATTACAATGAGGCCGGCGCAGTGGCTCGCGCCCGTAATCCTAGCACTCTGAGAGGCCGAGGTGGGAGGATTGCTTGAGCTCAGGAGTTCAGGACCAGCCTGAGCAAGAGCGAGACCCTGTCTCTACTAAAAATAGAAAGAAATTAGCTGGGCATGGTGGCTCGTGCCAGTGGTCCCAGCTACCTGGGAGGCTGAGGCAGGAGGATCGCTTGAGCCCAGGAGTTTAAGGTTGCTGTGAGCTAGGCTGACGCCATGGCACTCTAGCCCAGGCAACAGAGTGAGACTCTGTCTCAAAAAAAAAAAAAAAAAAATTACAATGAAATTCAATTAATGGTCTTTGTATTATCCATAAGTCGATTTCTTCCTCCTATTCAGTCTATATACTTTAAATATGCTCTTAAGAAAACCTATGTAAGGTAGCCAAGAAAAATCTTTTTTATATGAATTAAGCATCACATTTCACTGTGCTAAGCATAATACTGATTTGAGGATTAGATATTTTACATTCTCTCTTTCTCTTCCTAGTTCCCATTCTGTGATGGGGCTCACACAAAACACAATGAAGAGACTGGAGACAACGTGGGACCTCTGATCATCAAGAAAAAAGAAACTTAAATGGACAGTTTTGATGCTGCAAACCAACTTGTCATGATGTTACCCGATTGTTTAATTAGAATGACTACCACTTCTGTTTAATTCACCTCCCCCGGGTTCTAGATGTGGTATATTGCAAACTAGAGCTTTCATATTCATGGCATTTGCCTTACTTGTTGAAACATTGTGGTGCACATCTGTTTAAACAAAAAAAGAAGGAAAAAGTAAAAACCAACCTCATGGCCTGTGGGTTATTTTGGTCTTGTAAGGATCCGTTTCTTAAGATATTGACATTAGAATATAGTTGTATCTTGAAGTTAACATATTAAATTATTCTGAAAATCACATATTTGCAGATTGTACTTGTAAGTTCCAAAGAAAAATTATCACCTTTTCATATTCATTAACCTAGACAGTAAATGGGTGTGATTCAGCTACATTAATTTCATAATACAATCTAGAAAAAAAACCTGTTATGACCTTGATTTTCTTCTTGACATTTGTAACAACACTGAAATAATATGGTTTCTGTGTTTTCACAATTTTCAATCAAAATAAGCTATGAATATTATTCTGCTTAATTATGAGTAATCATAAGTCAGCCAGGTTAGTAATAAAGGGGTGATAACTTCTTTGTATTCATCTTCATGGATATTTAATTGATCCATTAAAGAAACCAATGTGGAAATTTAGATCAAAGTGATATTAGATTTAAAATAGTCCTGAAGAATATCTTAAAATGTATTGTTCCAGAATTCTAGCCCAAGGAGTGGCAAGCACTTGAACTGAGGACTTTGAAGGAATTGGAGCACATGATGTCAAGGCTTTTGATCACAAAGCCACATATCCATGACAGAAATAGTAATCACGAGGCTAGATCAAAGGCATAGGAAGATTTCTTTTTCCCCACTCTGGATAATGAAGTGCATGGCTTTTAAATTGTATGATCTTTTTCTTAAAAGCAAAAATTTGAAGACAAGTGTTTGTTTATGTGATATTCTTCAAAGACTCAGACCAGAAACATTGCATTCATTACTAATTCAGAAAAAAGGAAATATGAAAATTGAAAATAATTAGCAATAAGAGAAGATAGGAATAATATATTTTTAGAGAGACATTTTGCTTTTCAATTTTATAGGTTACCTTGACAGGAATCAAACCTGGCAGCAACATTCCTATATTTTTTAAATGTACAATTTTTTATGTTACAGTAAATAAAAATGGATACCAAAATTGTATACACTAGTTTTAATGAGCCCATGTGACTGTCCTTGACATGTCTTTAAGACATATCTTCAGCATAAAATCAAAAATCCAGGCCAGGTGTAGTGGCTCACACTGGTAATCCTAGCACTCTGGGAGGCCAAAGTGGGAGGATCCCTTGAGGTCAGGAGTTTGAGACCAGTCTGAGCAAGATTGAGAACCCGCCTCTACTTAAAATTAGAAAAAATTAGCTGGGCATGGTGGCGCATGCCTATAGTCCCATCTACTCGGGAGGCTGAGGGAGATGGATCCCTTGAGCCCAGCAGTTTGAGGTTGCTGTGAGCTAGGCTGACGCCACGGCACTCTAGCCCAGGTGACAGAGACTCAGTCTCAAAAAATAAATAAATAAAGTCCTACAAACCCTGATTCTATCGGATTTTTAGGGTGAATTTTTTCCTTGCTTATCCCCCTTTTTTAAATAACTATGTGTGGGCCAGCAAAAGAAAGCATGCTTTTTAAAGTTCATTTTAAAGAAAAAAATTCATAAACCCAAAAAGTTTCTGATAAAGTGACATCCTTTTAACTTAATAAACTGTATTCTTTATTTTGATTTTGAAATTACATTATTAAACACATTTTTTATGGGGAGGGGAACTAGTATCAATTCTCAAAACTGTAGGATTATAAGAGTGTGTATGTGTGTGGCAAAATTGAAGATGATCACCTTACTATGAAGTACAGATCTCCATGAGCATTTTGAGGGTCAAAAATATTTAGGTAAATGTATTTTCAGTGTCATGTTAAAATTGAATTACTTGCTTTTGAACTAGAATTCCTTGATGATGTGAAAATATTTTCATATTATTTAACCTAAAAAAGTGGATTAGGTTAATGTGAGATGTTTTCACACAGAAATCATTGGGTATAACTACTGTCCTAGTTAAGCACCTTAAAGCTTCTAATTGCCTTTTCATTGGTTGAGATATCAGGCAAGTGGGGCTCCCATCTGTTTTTCTCTGTATCGTTTATGTTCCATTGATTTTTGAAGTAAGATCTTGTGCTAGGTTGAAAAGTTTCTAATGTGAAGAATCTTGTTTTGCAGTGATTTAGAGTGACATTATTATGTTCATGCAACAGACATTAGGCATCCATAGACCATATCATTGAGAATGAAACATTTTAGAGAATTAGAAGCTCACACTACGGCATAGCTTACATAAATATGGTAATTTATGATTTGGGGTTCTTTTCCTTGACAAATTATAACAGCTACAACCATATATACCAAGTATTTCTATTAAAAAGTAGATGAAATTGTCTGATTTTACATTAGTTATGGAGATTTTTTAAATTTGGTTTTGCTAAAGATAAACATTGACCAAGGCTCCTAATTAGCAATATACAGTGTTTGGTGTTGGGGTGTCTGTGAGGGTGTATTATCCTGTTAGTTGTCAGAAGCTATGTTTTGTCTCCCGTACTTTAATACTAGCCAACCTCAGATGAAGCTACTCACCTCTAAGCCTTTTAAATTGAAGTGATTGGACTAAATGGCATTTTAGTCAATTGTTCCCAAATCCTAGGCCAAAACTAAATTTTCAGCAATCCACAAAGGAAAAAAAAATGCTAATAGATTATCGACTCAAATTTAATTTTTATTATAAGATTATTCAGCTTTTGTGATATTAAAGTATCCTTTTATGAAATGCTGATAGTAGTATTAGCTGCTTTAAATATCTTTGCTTGACAAAATAAAAAGTTGGCAGCGCTATGCCCCGACTTTTTTTTTAACTGCTCCATGAATCTAAAAGTCTGGGAACCACTAAGCCAAGATCCTATCTAGAGTTCTGAGACTTAATTATTTATTATGGTTTTAGCACAGTTTTATTTATTTTGTTATATATGTAGAATTTTTCATAAATAATATTAGCACAATGTGTTGAGGCTTCATGGAAAGTTCATTGTAAAAAAACAGGTTTACTTCCATTCAATTTACCATCATGAATCCAAACCAAGGGTAATATCAATCTTAATCCCTTCCCAATCTATATCTTTAAATGATTAAATAAAATATACAACCTGAAGATTGGCAAAGGATGATTGGCTGAGCATCTATCTGCCTTTCCTTAGAAAACTCCCTGTTTTTTATGGACTTAAATGAAGAATTGTTTCGTAAACAAAGGAATTACATGTATTAACTGAAGTTGCCAGGAGTCATCCTAAAGGAGATTTTGTAATCAGTAAATCAGTGAAAAGATATGATTAAGATTATAAATTGGAGGTGTTGGTATGGTGTTATGTCTCTGAACAACAAAAAAGGCAGTTCAACCTCAGGCATGGAACACAAGAATGCCAAGCTTGGAATATTGTCAGCTAAGTGTGCTGTAAACTAGATGTTCTTCACATAACCTTTTATCTCTAAGGAGAGTCTATTTCTTTCCAGTTCTTCCAGCCTATCCCTTATCCCTTAGAGATAACCAGAAGTCAATTTCTGTCAAGACTTCATTGTTTTGTTTGTTTTTTTTTTTTTTTTTTTT